CCACCGTGCCCGGCGAAACTCCTTCTCAAAAGAAAAAACAAAAAACAAACAAAAAAATTGTATACGTATCATAACAATTTGGAATATTTTCATTTAGCCAGGACGGTCTCGATCTCCTGACCTCGTGATCCACCCGTCTCGGCCTCCCAAAGTGCTGGGATTACAGGCTTGAGCCACCGTGCCCGGCGAAACTCCTTCTCAAAAGAAAAAACAAAAAACAAACAAAAAAATTGTATACGTATCATAACAATTTGGAATATTTTCATTTTCCCAAAAGAAATCCACATAACCATTAGCAATCACTCCTCAGTTTCTACCAAACTTTCCAGACCTAGGCAACTAATCTACTTTCTGTCTCTGTAGATCTGTCTATTCTGGACATCTCATATAAACAGCCATACAGTTGTTTGTGACTGGCTTCTTTCACTTAGCATCTGTTCACAGTTCATCCATATTGTAGCATGTATCAGTACTTCATTCCTTTTTATTGTTGAATAATATTCTGTTGTATAGACACACCACATTTTATCTATCCATTCATCAGCTTATGGACACTTGGGTATGTGGCTTTTGGGCTATGATGAATAATGCTGCTATGAACACTCATGTACCAGTATTTGTGTGGATACAGGTCTTCATTTCTCTTGGAAATATACTCAGGACTGGAACTATCAGGTATGTGGTAAATGAACAATCATTTGAGGAACTGCCAGATTGTTTTCCAAAGTGACTGTACCATTTTACATTTCTATAAGCACTGTATAAAGGTCCTCATTTTTTTCTACATCCTCAACACGTGTTAATGTCCATCTTTTTCATTTTAGCTATACTAGTAGATATGACATGATACCTCATTGTGGTTTTGTGGTATCTTATTTCCATAATGACTAATGATGTTGTATATCTTTTTACAGATATGCTATTTGCCCAACTGTATTGAATGCTAAGGGTTCTTTATATTGTTCTCCATACGAGTCCATTATCACACAAATATTTTCTCCCATTTTGTGGGCTGTTTTCCCTTTTCTAATAGTATCCTTGAAGGAAAAAAAGTTTTAAATTTTGATGGCCGGGTGCGGTGGATCACACCTGTAATCCTAGCACTTTGGGAGGCTGAGGCAGGTGGATCATTTGAGCCCATGAGTTTGAGACCAGCCTGGGCAACATGGTGAAACCCCATCTCTACAAAAGACACAAAAATTAGCCAGGCATGGTGGCTTACTCTTTTAGTCCCAGATACTTTGGGGGCTGAGGCAGGAGCATTGCTTGAGCCCAGGAGTTCGAGACTGCAGCAACCTATGACTGCACCACTGCACTCCCACCTAGACACCGTGTTAGCCAGGATGGTCTCGATCTCCTGACCTTGTGATCGGCCCACCTTGGCCTCCCAAAGTGCTGGGATTACAGGCGTGAGCCACCGCGTCCGGCCTTTTTTTTTTTTTTAAAGCAAATTCTTCCAGACCCTGATTGAGTCAGTTTTGGTATTTTCTTTCTTGAAATTTGTCCATTCCATCTAGATTATGTAATGGCATACATTTTGTTCATAATATTCCCTTATAATCTTTTATTTCTGTAAGTTCAATATTAATATCCCTGCTTTTATTCCTGATTATAGTTAGTCTAGCTAAAGGCTTGTCAAATGTCGTTGATCTTTTCAAAGAACCTTTCAGTTTCACTGATTTTCTCTATCATTTTTCTATTCCAAACTACTTTCCTGAAATTTATTAAATCTATTTTTCCTCTGAAATCTATTAAAAGTGCAGAGAGTTAGTAAACTCACCTGATCCAAGAAATTTGTGAAGTTTATGAATCCAAGTTAGCCCAACACTATGTACACCAGCTTCATGAGTACAGTGATATCTTGAAGGACACTTGGGATCTGCAAATGGAATGATTAATGATACAAAAGTAGCCATTGGATAACTAAAAAAATTTACCTCAAATTTGTTGGCTACCCCACAGTAGCCTACGAACGCATTTGTTGATGGAAGGTTTTATAAAAGGCTTTCCTATTGTTAGGGGTTTTGAAATTTTAAAATTTGAATTCAAATTTCGAATATATTTAAGTACAGATATACCTCAGAGATACTGTGGGTTTGGTTCCAGACCATTGCAATAAAGTGAATATAGAAATAAAGTGAGTCACACAAATCATTTGGTCTCCCAGTACATATGAAAGTTGTGTTTACACTATGCAGAAGGTTATGTTTATACTAGTAGCTACGCAACAGCATTACGTCCAAAAATATGTACACACCTTAACCATTTTTTATTGCTAAAAAATGCTGACGCAGAGACACAGTGAGCACATGCTGTGTGAAAATGGTGCTGATAGCCTTGCTTGATGCAGGGCTGTTGCAGCTTTCATTTGTTTAATAATAAAAAAAAAAAAAAAGCACTATCTGTGAACCACAATAAAATGAGGAGGTATGCCTGTATTCTGAAAAGTATAAAAAATGGCTGGGCATAGTGGCTCACGTCTGTAATCCCAGAACTTTGGGAGGCTGAGGTGGGTGGATCATGAAGTCAGGAGTTCGAGACCAGCCTGACCAACATGGTGAAAACCCGTCTCTACTAAAAATACAAAAATTAGCCAGGTGTGGTGGCAGCCGCCTGTAATTCCAGCTACTCAGGAGGCTAAGGCAGGAGAATTACTTGAACCCAGGAGGCAGAAGTTGCAGTGAGTGAGCCGAGATTGCACCACTGCAATCCAGCCTGGGCGACAGAGTAAAACTCCATCTCAAAAAATAAAAAAATAAAAAAACGCAATCTGAATGTTATTTGCTAAATATGAACACAAGAGGTTCACCAAAACATAAATACTTGCTGTCAAGTAACTCGTTTGTGCTTTTCTCTGTGCATTTATTTAGTTCTTCAAAAGAAAATGGTG